CAAAGAAACTGCCACAAACTGCTACAATCTCCGAGAAATCTACTTATTGAGTTATTGACTAGCTTGCTAAAATTCATCGGCAAATTACCGCTGCTCGAGTTACCTAGCCAGGCCCATTTCAGTTTTGAGTACTGGAGTCGGTTATCTAGTCAAAGCCTAGCTTTTTTGTAACTTGCAAGTGCTTTTGCGGATTCGATTTTCAAATAGTCGTGGATTTCGGCAAATAGTCGTGGATTTCGGCGATATTTTCAGATTATTCTTCAATGTCCTCAAACCTGAGCACTGGGACTACTTAAATTTTTGCTACTATCTGAATGATTTGCTCAAGCTACTGGCTCGCTAGGTTCAAAGGTTTATTTCCTATTTATCATGAAAAAAAAAATTATGCTGGGTAAAAGTTTACACGGTGTTCACCCAGGTTTGAACTCCCGACCACGCGCAGAGCTAGCCAATCGCCTAGCCGCTAATATAAGCTACTCTGGTGATGTACTCACGAAATTTTTGATGTACTTATTTATTCACCCCTTCTTACCCCCAGTTCCATAGCGGATATTATGCCAAATTATTGGACGGAGATCGTCAACTAATATTTCTTCGGATATTTCTCCGGTTTGCAGTTCCATAACCTTATCCTCTTTTCAGAGTTTCAAGACCATTCTCACACATTCTCATATACCTGGATTGACGAGTAAACCAGTACAGTAGGGAGTAAAACGAAAGATTAGTTGTCGTTTTAGCATATTAGAAAGTAAACTTTGTAATAATAAATTAGTTACGAAGCACACTGTACATCCAAAATAAATGAAGTAATAAGCGATAAATAGTTATTGCTCAATTGAGGTGAAGTTAAGTGTGTTTATTTCTCCACGGGCAGGTTCATCAGAGCTTTCCAAAGGTAGGTTTTAACCAGCCATCTCATTTCTGGAATTTTTTGTAGCTTTTAATCAGATTAACCCCCCCAGTTCCATAGCGGATATTATGCCAAATTATTAGACAGAGGTCCATTTCTACGGTGATGATTCTCCGGCTCCGTCTACTGTATTATACGGAGATGAAGCTCTCCGGGAATTTCTCGGAGATTGTAGCAGTTTGTGGCAATTTCTTTGCACTTTGCTCTGTGAGAATCAACAAAATTACCGTAGATGGTCTCAGGATAAGGTTATGGAACTGCAAACCGGAGAAATATCCGAAGAAATATTAGTTGACGATCTCCGTCCAATAATTTGGCATAATATCCGCTATGGAACTGGGGTAAGAAGGGGTAAATATATATTTACATCAAAAATTTCGTGAGTACATCACCGGAGTAGCTTAGCGGCTAGGCGATCGGCTAGCTCTGCGCGAGGTCGGGAGTCCAAACCTGCGTGAACACCGTGTAAACTTTTACCCAGCACAATTTTTTTTTTCATGATAAATAGGAAATAAACCTTTGAACCTAGCGAGCCAGTAGCTTGAGCAAATCATTCAGATAGTAGCAAAAACTTAAGTAGTCCCAGTGCTCAGGTTTGAGGACATTGAAGAATAATCTGAAAATATCGCCGAAATCCACGACTATTTGCCGAAATCCACGACTATTTGAAAATCGAATCCGCAAAAGCACTTGCAAGTTACAAAAAAGCTAGGCTTTGACTAGATAACCGACTCCAGTACTCAAAACTGAAATGGGCCTGGCTAGGTAACTCGAGCAGCGGTAATTTGACGATGAATTTTAGCAAGCTAGTCAATAAATAGATTTCTCGGAGATTGTAGCAGTTTGCGGCAGTTTCTTTGCACTTTGCTCTGTGAGAATCAACAAAATTACCGTAGATGGTTTCCGGATAAGGTTATGGAACTGCAAACCGGAGAAATATCCGAAGAAATATTAGTTGACGATCTCCGTCCAATAATTTGGCATAATATCCGCTATGGAACTGGGGGTAAGAAGGGGTAAGGGGGGGGGGGGGATGATGTCCGCTATAACATCGGGCCCCCATTATACAGTCCTACCTGTAAAGATATGATCTGGGATACTCACTTCATTAGCAGGCACATAGAGATTTCAAACAAATTCTATTCACTTATTGACATTCCTACTATACCTAGTAATATTGTATTTATTATATTCTTTGCAAGAAATTAAAAGATGTAATATCCATGTATATTCTTGTGGTTATTGTATAAATTGTATCTAAAGATTTTTCGCTTTCTCAGGTTTTCTTAAATTTTGTCTCAGGATTTTTCGCTGTCTCAGGTTTTCTTAAATTTTGTCTCAGGATTTTTCCCTGTCTCGGGATTTCTTAAATTTTGTCTCAGGTTTTTTCGCGCGTCTCAGGATTCTTAAATTTTGTCTTAGGTTTTTTCGCTGTCTCGGGATTTCTTAAATTTTGTCTCAGGTTTTTTCGCTGTCTCGGGATTTCTTAAATTTTGTCTCAGGATTTTTCGCTGTCTCAGGATTTCTTAAATTTTGTCTTAGGATTTTTCGCTGTCTTGGGTTTCCTTAAATTTTGTCTCAGGATTATCTGCTGTCTTAGGTTTCCTTAAATTTTGTCTTAAGACTTTTCGCTGTCTTAGCTTATTTTGACATCTCAGGTTCGCTTAAATTTTGTCTCAGCTTTTTTTGCAGTCTTAGCTTTTCTTAAGCAGTTTGTCTTAGGAATTTTTGCCAATCCAATCCTAAGATCCGAGGCTGGGGGAGGCCTCACAACCACCCCTAGAACTGTTTGGCCTGTCGCATCGCATAAGGTTGAAGGAGGAAGGAATATTTATGGTGTCTGTGTCAATAGTATCATTAAGATTCATCTCATTTAGGGAAAGTATGTCTAATTTATGATCTCTAATAAGTTGGGAAAGTTCATTACTTTTAGCTAAATTAAGAAGCCCTCCTTGAATGTTACAATGACCAATGCAGAGGTTTGTGAAACCTATCAGCTGCATTATTAAAATTTGTCATCTTGTGAATCTTATTAATTCACAATGGAATGAATAAAAGTTGTAAAGTTGTGTTTAAACTAAAAAACAGAATAAAAGCAGGTTGTATTTGTCTGGATGTCGTACTGTAAAAATAAAACTGATGGTAGGAGTGTTATGTCAGTATTCAGCAGTATTCTAATGGTGTGCATGATACTTCAAGTGCCTTGCTAATTTAACTATGCCATAATCATTGAGATGGACATTATCCTCTCCATAACTACTAAAAAATGACGATTTTCTAAAGCCTTTCTTATCACTAAACAAGAAACGATTTGTCTCGGTTGAGAGCAGTTTTACATAGGTGTATTTCTTTGCAGATTTGATATACATCCATTGATATCTGTTATAACCTTGTTTCTGGAGAAACTCTCCCGAGGTAATAAGTTAACAATTTTAATATCAGCTCCAGGTGCCCACTTGTGAAGGAAAAGTACAAGTTTTTCAATACAATTGTTTGTAAAGTCAAGAGCTCTAGCATCACCAGAAAAACTATCAGGGCACAGAAGTTTAGTCCTCATGTTGCGAGGGCTGTTCAGGATAGAGTCCACGTCATTTGTACCACACATAAGTACAATGCTTTTCACATTATTGGTATTAAGAGTGTCTTTTCTTACATCTGATCGAAACCGTTCATTGATTGCATTGGCTGTGGCACCAGGGTAGCTGAATACATGTGCCTCATGTTGTTTGGACGATAGCTTTTCTCCCTCTAATTTGGAGAACATACTAGAGCTAATGTAGACACACAAAGATTTACCAGAATGTTCTATCGATCTAGTCTTAGGGGCCGAGGGTTCAGTGTTCTTAACTTGACTGGAAACATCAGACAGAGTAGATAAGGTTGCGCTGCCATCAATTAGGCGCAGAGTAATGCTTATTCTCATGGTTTCAGACTTGTCCTGGATGAGGCTGTGTTCAAAGCTGGTCTGGGATTGTCTGGTCATATTCATTATGTCACCATGGGAGAGGGTGAGGTCAGCAATATGAGCTCTAAGTTTGGATCTGAAGCTTAGGACTCTAGTAGCCCCTAAAGAGATGGTGGAGATCATGGAGCCTGGTGAAATTGACCTCTCGTCATCCGAGTGAAAGGGAATTCCTTGCTGACCATTTCTATACTTGGTAATCATAGCACTATTGAATTTCAACTTTGGGAACTGTGAGCGTAAGCGTTCTAAAATAGACTTTAGGTAGGGATTGTCTGCTACTGGCCTTGTGTTATGAAAGCCTCCATTGTAAGCGTAGGGAAAGTCCCCATAATATGCAACTGTCCTATTCTCAAACTCATGAGTATAGTGGGTTTCTATATCTAACTTGGCAGTGTCAACAAACTGAAAAACTCCTCGACTCAAGTCTTGGTATGGAATGATAGAGTTGGTCACACCATTGACACCATTTACAGAGTGTTTGGGATTTTCCGAATTGATAATTTCTGCTGAATGTTCACTGTCTTCTGCTAATTTGGATAGCTCTTGGGTTAACTCAGAAACAAGATGCGAGGATGAGCTATTACTGAGGGGAACTTTGATAGAATGTTCACAGTGATCAGGTACCTGGGGCAACACAGGGACAAGTGAACTATTGCTGAGGGGAACTTTGAGTGCACTGTCACTTTCTGATAATTGTTTATAGAGAATAGAAATTTGCCGACGAAGACGATCATTCTCTCTTAATAGAGTTAAACAATTTGAACATTTATCAGTAGGACGAGAGCCATTACTGAGGAATTTAACAGCATTCCCTCGATATCTCAGATTGTAATCTCTTGAGCCAAGTTCTGGTATTCTAGACATAGTTTATCACAAAAAGATGCTACTGTTCGAAATTTAGTTAATGATTACAGTACCTTTGTAGCACTCCGGAGGATAAGGATAAGTGATGTCTGATAATCTTTAGGTGATAGATGGGAGTAAACTGCTTTAAAAATCGATGTCTGATAGTCCTTAGGATGTCTTTAAGATAACTTTATCATGCAACAACCATTTACATTGACATACAACCTGTAATGGTCGTTACATTTATCGAGGCATTAGTTCCAATTCCCACTGGGGGTCCTCAAATTATTTGTTATATAGTAGTGTTGAAAGTATTAAAACTCTCATTGAAAGTATTAAAACTCTCATTTCACCACTCTCATTTCACAACTCCCATCTAATGACTTCATATCAAGATCCACAAAAATCTGGAGCACAATTGCACCTAAACTTAAGCTTTTTGACTACTCCTACAAGATTAGCCTTGCTAAAAGTCGCCTGAAAAAGGCACTTCTAAAGCTGCAACATGCTTATAATGATTCAGCATGGACTTCAAGCGATTATGACATAATGCAGCTGTCATTTGAAAACAATCCCCTTCAACAAATGTAATCCAGTGTTCTCACTTCTCGGCCCACAGGTTCCTCCTATTAAAAAATTTTTGATTTTGGTAAATGTGTGCTGACTCCACCACCTATAAAATAAATAAATAAATAAATAAAGTCAATTTTTACAGCACAGCAATATATATCTAAATATCAGATCCTCTGTAATCATAATGTATAAAAAAAGGAGCTTTTCTCTGTGCTGAAGGATGAATCAAGGCAGATCATGGTTCTGTTAGCAGGCCACCCTAGTTATGGACAATACATATATATAAAATAATTAAATTATAATTTTAAAATTGTGTCAAGATTGAACTAAAACATAACTCAGGGTAAAATAGACGTATTCCCTTCGTCAAATTAACTATTTACAATACTAAACCTATGTATTTAACCTAATATTTAGTGTATTACAGGTAGACATTGACTTAGGTAGGTATTTTTCTCTTAAGGTAAATATTAAGAATTTGGTAAATTTCTTAATTGTATGACTATTTCCATTATTGAGACGTTTTAAATATTTGATTTAAGAGGTTTTTATTTTATTTTTATAGGACTGGTTCACAGTGTGAACAGATTCCAGATTTATATATTTTTAAGTGATATTTAATAAACGATTAAAAGAACCAATTTTAAAGTTGCCATAGTAAAGCCTTTAGGTCCAAAAATATACCCATTATGCTCACGTAAAAACAACTCTAAATCAGTAGGCTGTCACTCTATTAATGCACCACACCGCTTCCTCCACTGCACTAAAAGTTATACAATAAATTCTACAATCCTAATTTTGTATCGTGATGGAGACCGGTGTCCATACAAAAATTTTACTAGGTTGCCGTTTGGTGTGAGCAATAGCGAACAGCACGAACACTCCTTTGCCCCGTCAACCTATATCTAATCTATTTAAAGAGTGACAACCATACTACACATTGAATTAGGATTCCTTTAAATATCAAATTGATTTATTGTAAACTTGTTTACTCTGTAATAAATGGCATAAAATTGAATTTTTGTTTAACTGAATTTTTGTTTAACTGAAAGTGGCTCTTGCTTGTGATCAGTGCATCAACTACCCGTCGTGCTAATTACATATATAAAACATATTTTTGTGTGCTTTAATTTATACTTAAGTAATAATAATAAATTATTCAAACAATATACACATTATGTCACAATGATCCTATATAAAAAGAAAAAACTAAACCCTTCAACAACTCAAAGTTTTGAAAATCAACCTTGGCCTTGCGGCTCCAAGTTCAAATCTAAACTGTCTATATTGATACTAAATACAATCTTCGTTTGATATACTGTATGGGTCAACTATTGAAACATGAAATGACGAAGTATCTTGAGCAGCACTTTATACCTCCACTTAGAACTTGATTAGTCACGAACAATAGAATCATTATAAATCAATACAATAAATATATTTTCTAAATAAAATGTTTCAAACAGTATACACATATACTGATACAATAAAACATGTTGATCAATAAATGCCTAGCAGCACCAGACAGCGGCCGTGTACCTTTTTCGACTCCACGGAGTCCCTGATAGACTTCTGTTTACTTTTGTTAATAATTTGACCAACCTTTCTTTCTCGAAACATATATCCTACTGTACTTTATTATAGTATTAAGATAAAGCAAATGTGAAGAATTGAAGATATTACTACGAAATAGATTTATACCAAATCACAAATTGTTCATGATATTTACTAACCGTGTCGATGGTTTTGGATTTTGTATGTTGTATTTTAATGTGTAGCGTTTACTCTTCCCCTCGGCACGACAGTTAGATTTATGATAATAATTGCCAAGTGGTCCACATGGGTCCGAAAAAGCCGTACAGGCACTTGGGTCCTTATCCTTGTCACTAGTCTCAATTGGATTCAGTTTACACAAACATGAACATTTAAAATTTAGACGCACACATTGACACGATATTTATTAGAAAGCAAACAGTATAAAATAATACGTGCGTGCGCGGTTTGAGCCGCGCTGCATATGGCATAACAATTGTTGCGTGTGCCGTGTAGGGGCTGGAGTTGCTCTAACCAGAGCCCTTTCGCTTGCAGTAGCGCGCGACTGCCGAACGCGTATACACATGGCTATGTGAAGGGCTGGAGTACGCTTGTTTATAGATTAATGAAATGTTGCATTGTAAATATTTAAAGTTGACGATATATTATGATGTAATAGTAAAATTTACAAAGCTGGCTTTGGGCTCAGTTAAAATTATTATTTATTTATTTTTAAAAACCACGGATAGTTTTAAATTTACGCTGTCGTATAACTATAAACAAGTTAATCCTATTTTCAAGAATGCGCGGCTTTGGCGGCCAGTTATTGACTTATACATAAAATTTTCACATAGCCATGTGTATACGCGTACTGCGTGACGCGCTTGTTTCACAAGCGAGAGGGCTCTGGTTAGAGCAACATAAAATTGAATTTTAAATAGAAATGTGAATATATTAAAATTTAAAACTTTTAAAACGGAGGCCTATAAATATTATTATATTATAATTGTAAAATAAAGGATAAAATTTTTAATTTGTTTCACTAAAATTTGTTTCACTATATAGCACAAGTGGTTTGGAACAGAAGGCCATTTTCAGTTTTGAGAGTCTAGTCTTCATTGTTCATAATTCGAATCTCTTAGTGCATAATGTAACTAAAAATAAATTGTACAACTTCGTTTCGTGTCTCCTTTTATCCTGAAATTTCCTTACAAGATGAGATTTACAATATTTATTATTTATGCCCCCAAGGTTAAAAAACACAACTGATCGACACAGAATGATGCAGCTAATCAAATCCATCAGGTTCTTCTAGGGACTATACACAACTTTTCAACACCGGTTTCCCTCTCTAATGGGCATACAATTGCTTTGTATTATATTTCATTTCAATCAAGTGATGCAATTGGCAGAGCACAACAAACAGGTAACGGAAATTGTCCACTGCTACCAATATTATATGTGAAATATTTGATCGACAATGCGAACGATGCGAACGATGCAAACGATGCGAACAATGCGAACGATGCAAACGATGCGAACGATGCGAACAATACAAACGATGCGAACGATGCGAACGATGCAAACAGTGTGAACAATGCAAACGATGCAAACAATGCGAACGATGCAAACGATGCGAACGATCGACGATGCGAACAATTGACGATGCGAACGATCGACGATGCGAACGATCGACGATGCGAAGCAAGAATGTTAGTTCGTGTTGCGCGTCGAAGCGGCTAAGTCCTCCAAATGAAATATCAACAATCAAATATATGCACACCTACTCCATCATAGGGGCAGATATCAGTTAAACAAAACAGTTAAACAAAAATTTCAATTTTATGCCATTTATTACAGAGTAAACAAGTTTACAATAAATCAATTTGATATTTAAAGGAATCCTAATTCAATGTGTAGTATGGTTGTCACTCTTTAAATAGATTAGATATAGGTTGACGGGGCAAAGGAGTGTGCGTGCTGTTTGCTATTGCTCACACCAAACGGCAACCTAGTAAATGTTATGTATGGACACCGGTCTCCATCACGATACAAAATTAGTATTGTAGAATTTATTGTATAACTATTAGTGCAGTGGAGGTAGCAGTGTGGCCTACTGATTTAGATTTGTGACAGCCTACTGATTTAGATTTGTTTTTAAGTGAGCATAATGGGTATATTTTTGGATCTAAAGGCTTTAGTGTGGCAACTTTTAAATTGGTTCTTTTAATCATTTATTAAATATCAGTTTAAAAATACATAAATCTGGAATCTGTTCACACTGTGAACAAGTCCTATACAATTTCAAAACCCCCCTTAAATTAAATATTAAAAACGTCTCAATAATGGATTATGGAAATATTCATACAATTAAGAAATTTACCAAATTCTTAATACAGGTGGCCCAAAAGTGACTACCCACACGCAACCTCTTAATAACTCACATAATTCGTCTCCAAATTGCACCAAAATTTCAGAGATTATAGATATGGGTCAAACTTAGATTTCCTGAAAGTTTCGTAAGCCACGCCCAATTACAGTGGGCGTGGCGTGACATTTTCTCTTTTTCACTATTAATAATAAAACAAAAGTTTTTAATAAAACAAAAGTTAAATTTATTACCAATTATTCAATCAATACATATCATAAATTCTAATATTGTCACCATAAAATGAGAACGCTTTAAGCTTGATAATTTAAAACCTTTCCCGAAGTTTCAAGTTCATTGTTCAAAATTTGGCTGAGTTATGACCATTTCAAAATCCATCAGATACGTGATCCGAGCACTCAGTCAGTGATCTCTGCACTCAATCAGTGATCTCGTCACCCAATCTGATCAAGAGTAAGGCGTTAGCATGTATTAATGAGGTTCATTAGGCTTTACCTAACATACTGAGGAGATGACGACCTGATCATGACTGATTGGATACCGAAAATGGATACCAACTAATCAAAATTCCCTCACAAAAACAATTAAATAATTTCAATAAAGATGTTCAAATTGTCGTCCCCCAGCTGCAATCACCTTGCAGCACCGCTTCTTTACACTCCGACAAGCGTTCATAGCAAACGTTGGGTCCATATTATGGATGATGTCGATCAGGTGGTGCTTTAGCTGCGGGATGTCTGCAATATCCCGGCAAAATTACAATGACACATTTTTATATACTAATTGATAAATGGTACTGCAATATAAGTTGCTTAATGTTTGGCCGGATGACAACTAACTAAAAAGAAAAATAAAAGTTTGATTACATAATAATCAATTCGGCTGAACCAACACATAGCAAGAGCCACATTAACGTTGTGTCCCAAAACGAATATTAAGTGCTGTCCGGAATGAGGTTAAACGAGATGAACCAAATGTGGGTTCTTTAATGAACCTGATTGGTATGGTTGAACCTAGATTTGCTTGGTGTTTTAAAGTTGGAATTTTTGTGACATCCCTCTTCCCTTATCGAAAGTTTTTTAAATTTTTTAAAATTTTTTTATACCCATCGTCCTACTGGTTGTTCATGGCTGTCTAGATGTTTGATATTTTTCTTCAAATTATTGAGTGCTGTATTATTACTATAACCACTGATGGTTTATTCAATTTAGTTATGTACATGTCTCGACGACTGCTTTCCAGCACAATTCAGTCGGTCAGAGTTCTTCCTCCACTTCACGTCAGCAGGTGCAATAAGAATCCTGAGGATTTTTTACAAGCATATGTATCTGAACAAGTTACTGAGGTTAGGAACTCAAATTCACTCTGTGCTGTAATCAGATTTTTAAGCCACAGTCCAGGTTCTGAGGTCTCAGAGTCATTGAATGATGTACTGCACAAGGCTTGTCAAAATTCCACTGGCAAGTTGTTTGGAGTGGCATCTTTGGTGACAGTTGATATTGAGCAGGCTGAAGCAGAGGTTAAAAAGTACGCTGATTCCCAATATGTTAAAGGATTTGGTATTGATTGTACAGCACTGGCTCATCAGTCTGAGGATTACAAAAGATTGTACTATTTGTTTCAACTTTGTGATGCTGCCGACCGTCCAGTATTTCTGCACTGTGGAGAGGATACGCCATTAAAAAGTTCCTCCATAACGGCTCAAGCAGTATGTCAGATCATAAATGACGGAATTTTAGATTTCTATCCAGGATTGATGATCATTGTCAATTCAAGTATCATCCCATTAGTAATAGAATCATTAGCAGGAAATAATCCTGCTAATTCTTTGCAGAAGCAAAATACGGAGCATTACCTTAACAACAACCTTTTGTGTGTTTCAAATTGCTCAGATGTGAGCTATCTCAACTACCTAATTCAAACATTCGGTGATAACAGGGTCCTCTACAGTTACTCAGACAATGCCAATTCAACTGGGGATGCATTATTAGAGTCAGCCCCCACCTTTAGCCAACTTACTGTGCAAAAAATTATGGCATCTAATGCAATGAGGTTGTTTGGGATTTCTGATAAAGAAAAGCTCTGGAATGTTAATATGGAAAACGTTACCGTCCTTAATAATTTGCGGTGTGTTCAGTTGTTGTCTTCAAAACTAAGGGACAAGACTACTGATGCTAAAGAGTTCATGCTTAATGCAGATCGCCTCATGACAGTGCTGGCCGAAGAGGCACTGTCAATGGTCCCTGGTGTCAAGCAGCAGGACATAGAAACTCCAACTGGTATATTCAAAGGTCTAGAGGATACTCTTGGTGAGAAGCTTTGTGTTGTATCTATAGTGAGGTCTGGTGATATTTTGCTTGAAGCAGTTAGGAAATTGTCGCCTGGAATTAGAGTTGGAAAAATTCTGATTCAAAGAGATGAAGAAAGTGAGGATAAGAGAGCGGTATTGTACTACAAAAAGCTCCCCAAGGATATATCTGACTGTTATGTGTTGCTAGTTGATCCAATGTTAGCTACTGGAGGAAGCTTGATTTGTGCAACTGATGTATTAGTTGATAATGGTGTTAAACCTGCTAACATATTGTTTGTTAACTTATTTTCAGTGGAAGAAGGTCTGGAGAATGTTCAAAACAAATTTCCAGATATGAAAATTCTTACCTTAAGCATTGATGATTACATGAATGATGACAAATATATAGTTCCTGGTGTTGGTGATTTTGGTGATCGTTATTATGGAACTACAGAATAAAGTTTTGATATTTAACTTTTTTTCAGTAAAGAAGGTAACTTGAGGTATATATGTACATATATAATAGTGAATTACTATTCAAGAGAACTGTCAATTTCAAGGCAAATTTTGTGGTTTTCTAGTCATCTACAGTCCAGTCGTGCGGATTTTCTCTATGTTGGTTATGAAGTAGAGCTTGCTTAAATTCATTTTTAACAAGGCTTTTTTAGCAGAATAGTCTGATATTTTGAATTTTGTCGTTTCAGAGAGAAGTTGACTTAGAAATGAAATTTTGTGATGGATTACTGTACTTACTAAGCATTGGTGAAGAGCACTTACGTTTTAAGATTTTAGAAGTTAATAATCCATTCACAACAAAGTCAAACCTCTTTACACATTGAATTAGGATTCCTTTAAATATCAAATTGATTTATTGTAAACTTGTTTACTCTGTAATAAATGGCATGAAATTGAAATTTTTGTTCAACTGAAATTTTTGTTTAACTGACTAACTATGCCTCAATAAATTTTAGTACGGGTTTCATGTTTTAATTAATATTCCCTCTCGAACTTTATTTATCATGTTTTTTCCATTCATGATCAGTAATATCTTCCTTACCTGTGAGGCCGCGTCTGGTAAATAAGTTTTTACTTTTCTAACACTATCTTAGTACTTTGAGTTAATTAATTTATTAAAGTTCATTTCTGAAGATTTTTAAGTGATTTGATACTGTCTTTGTGTGATCATATAATATCATAAAATAAGAGTCAACCTTGACCTTTTACTTCAAGTCCTTAAAAATGTCGAAATGAATAAAATACATTTGTGTTGTTAATTGTGAACCGTCTTAGATTCAGTATAATTATGTTTCACCTACTCAGTATGCTGATTATATGAAATATTTTCATTTTAACAACTTACTTATGAGTGATATTTTACAGCCCCAGGATTAAACTATGGTCAAATGGGACGCTGGAAGTCTCAAGTCGATCATATTTAAAGAATTGCACTCCAGCTCCTGTGTACCAAAGGGCACAGAGAAAATACAACATCAACTCTATGATTTGTTGCTGAACACAGTGGATAGAGGCGAAGGGAATTCTGTGCTTTTTGTCGGGCCCAGAGGAACCGGAAAGTCAGCACTAGTTAACTACACTATTGATAAAGTTAAGAGTGCTTGTAAAAATGATTTTATACTGGTTTATCTAAATGGTTTTGTTTGTATTGATGACCAACAAGCTCTCAAAGAAATCGCTAAGGAACTCTGCCCTAAAAGTGAGCTGGCCGATTTGAACCTTAATTCATTTGCTTCAACAATGACATTCCTGTTGGAAACTCTGAATTCTGGCGACAAGGGACGACAATCTGTGATATTTGTGTTGGATGAGTTTGATTTGTTCACACAGCATCATAATCAACATCTACTGTACAACCTCTTTGATCTCTCTCAGTCTAAATCAACACCGTTAGCAGTCGTTGGTCTAACAAGCCGGCAGGATGTTATGGAGCTCATGGAAAAACGGGTGAAATCAAGATTTTCTCACAGACAGTTCTTTATCTTTGGTCCTCCAACATTTGAAGAATATATTGCCATTGCACATGAGATTCTGTGCCCTGACTCATTATCCTTACCATCCTGGTCTACCCATGTAAAGGAAGTGTTAAATAGTACTGACAATAAAATAAAAACTTACTTGGAGCGAGTCTACAACTTCAACAGAAGTGTGAAACTTCTAAAAAACTGTCTAACCTGGGTTGCAGTTGACATTGACTCATCTTCTCCTAAAATAAATGTCGATTTATTTGAAGAGAAATTGATTGAAGTTTTCAAGGACTCCAAAGCAGTCTTGATCAGAAGTCTGAGCAAACTGGAGTGTTGTATCTTGATTGCCATGGCTAGGTTATCAACCAAACATGCTAATCAACCTTTCAATCTGGAGATGGTTCTTTTCGAATACAAAGAGGTTAGTGATTTTACTTTGGCTATCGAACTTTATATAATAATTATAAGAAAATTTTGATAGGTTGATTAGGTGAACTCTTACACAGGTTGTGAATAATTCTGGCTGCTTTAGTTGGTGTTTTTGCTATTGTAGTGGGAAACGTCTCAGAGCAGAGTCGCTTTAGCAATCATTATGGATACTTGATATTATTATCTTGAACTGTTTAGCTGTTGTACATTGTAAAAACTAAAAAATGATGGCTAAGATTAAACATTATACTGTTAATCTTGAGTTTAAGCCGAACCTTTTTCAGTTTGTTACATTCGAAGGAGGAAAGATAGATGCAATTCCAAATCACGATCTTGCTGTGCAGGCCTTGGAGAAGATGATAAAGTCTCAACTAGTTAGAACATTGTCAAGTCGTCAATCTAAAGTTCAGAAAGACTATAAATTAATGTATTTGAACATTGATATCATGGACTTAACAAATATTCTTAAAACTTGCAATTTGCAAAGTAATGTTCAGAAATGGGCACAATCTGTCTTGACATTCTAAATTCTTAGATGTGGAAGTGCAGTTTTATCAAAATATAATGTTGTTTTTAATTGTTTTTATTTATAATTTTATGGCATTATTGTGTTGCAATCTTTTATCTTTAGATCTTTTTGATATACTGATAACTCTAATACTATTATATAAAAATTCAATGATAATTACAATTTACAAAGTGATAATTAAAGTCTGTCATTGTTTCCTAAAATCATACTTGACCAGACCGCAATTCTGATAATTATTTGTTGTGTAGATTGAAGAACTAGTATATTTTCCTTAAGTGCTATATACTATTTTTAAATGACCATCTCTTTGTGGTAGTTCATAGAAGCTTTAGTCAGCCCTTGTCACAAGTCACAACTGAATATTTTATAAATTGGTAAAATTGTTTAAAATGAATCTAATTTCATGGATTTCAATCTATGGGTATTCAAGAAGGAATAGACTAGTTCTTCAATCTACTCCAAACTGAATCTTTAAATTTGAGATAAGTTTGAAGCTATTCATTAAATAGGATACAGTTGTCGTAAAACTTCCATAAACTTTATCTTAGTTACAATGATATTGTGATATCAATTTCGTAAAAAAATTACAAATGCCTAGCTTTCTAGTTTCCTGCGATGCCACGTTACCACGTTACCATCCTTCAAATAAATGTTAACAAATTATAATTAAGTTTTAAATATCCGGCACTACACTTATGAACGGAATTATGAATATGGGCCTGCCCAAGCTGTTTGAAATGTTAGAGAGAGACTCAGAGTGGGTCAATTATTACTACGATGTGGAAAACAAATTCCCTCACTTATCAGCTTCAATCGGCAAGAAACCACAAAACATGCCCAAGAACCGGTATTGCAATGTGTGGCCTTGGAACCACAGTAGAGTTGTGCTAGGGAGGTCACCTGATTATATCAACGCTTCTCACATCAAATCGCCGATTGTTAATCATCAATACATTGCCTCTCAGGTAAGATATCTGAAACTGTTTTTATATATTTGTTAGTGAAAATGTTGAAAGTGTTAAAATATTTTGTGTACTTTTTTTGCTACAAGAATTAGAATCATGGATATCAAGTGGTGACTTTAATAAAATGAAAACTCACTTTATCATAATATCCCAGGAGCCACTTTCTGGTAGAAATGAATCAACAAAGGATGACTTCTGGAGAATGGTCTGGGAACAGAACTGTTCAGTTATCATCATGTTGAACGACCCTTCTGAGAATAACTCTTACAATAGTGCCAAGTATTATCCTTACTTCCCTACTGGCCAGCAAGATTACACTGAGTACACTGGTAAGGAGGGGATAAAGGTCTCTCTCCTGTCCCGGGAGATCAAAAATTGTTATTTCTACAGCAAATTAGAGTTGAGTCTCGAAGGTAAACCTCCTCGGGAAATTCACCATCTTCAATATAAAGGGTGGGGGGACTACGAGGTACCTGATTCGGCAGCTACTGAATTCTTTGAATTCCTGAAGGAGGCACGGGATTTGTTCGAGAGCTATCCGGGCCCACCTATAGTCCACTGTTCCGCCGGTGTTGGTCGCACTGGAACATTTATTCTAGCAGATGTTATCTTGGAGATAGCAAAGGAAAGGAAGAGTCTGAATGTAGATGTTAAAGAAGTGCTAGAGAAACTGAGGGAGCAGCGAATGTGGCTCGTACAGACTCCAGACCAGATTAGGTTTTGTTTTATGGCAATTGTTGAAGGGGTAAAGAAGCTGGATCTCACTGAATTCGCTGAAGATAGAGTTAATGTTTGAATTGTTTTCATGCTATAATTAGTTTTGATTTTTATTGTAATGCACTTTTTCTTTATTTGGGTGAAAGTTTAAAGATTTAGTGACGGTGATCATTTGAACTGTCGTTTATGATAAGTTTGTGACGTGTCCTATGTGTTTGGTGAGATTCAGACGATATATTTTGACTTAGTTTTTATGTCTGTTTTGTTGAATTTGTTTAATATTTTGGTGGGGTTATTTTTGTAAATATCGTAGCTCTGACTCAGTATTTAGTTCTTTTAGTTATTAGTGTTGCATTGTTTCATAATTCGGAATTGTTTTTCTGTTTTGGAATTAAACTATGGAGTACTACGTGCTGTTTCTTGATCATGATTATATAAATGATATTATGTAACTTAGAAATGGAATTAGACATTTAAAATTGTAGTGACTAATCGTTGAACCAAATGCTATTCAACTAATTGTAGTGTGAACTTTAATATATCAATTTCAATTCCTGAGATAACACTTTTTGGACTAACTATAATTTCTACTTATTTTCAACTAATTACAACTAATTCATTCAAATAACTTCATAATAATAACAATTACTCATTTTAGCTGAAAATGACAGCTGGTGGAAACAAGAAGCGGGTATGTTACTATTACGACGGTGATGTTGGTAACTACTACTACGGTCCTAATCATCCAATGAAACCACACCGTATCAGAATGACCCACAACCTTCTCCTAAACTATGGACTCTACAGAAAAATGGAGATTTACGTAAGAGTTTAAAAAAATCAAAAACAAAATTAAATCTTCCAAGTCAGGTCGCTGCTCTGATAAATAAAATTTGTAATCAAGAGAACTGAGGATTCTAAGAAGAATGAATTTACAGCATCGTATTAATTAATTGATTAAACACTTGAATTCTTCGTTTGATTTGACGGCCATTGTTTCAGAGACCACATAAGGCGTCCATGGAGGAAATGACGAAGTACCATGCTGATGAATACATCAAGTTCTTACGCAACATTCGGTATGAAACAATCTAACGGTATCAAACTTTATATCATTGACATTACTAAGAGTACTTCCACTTTCAATTTTATATAGGATGTCAGAATAAAGAGCATCTCCAATGATTGATATCGGTACTTCCACTTCCACAATAATGCATTGTGTATCTTAAAAGATCTCCAGATATTATTGTCACCCAGTGGGCCACTGTAACTTGTAAAATATACTTTTATCTGAACTGGGTAACCATATAAAGGGAAGTTATTTCGTTTTGAATAACTCGAGACGTAATTATGTTCTTCAAGAAGTCACTTAACGCAGTACCAACTGTCTTGAAATTAAGAGTTGACTCTTAACTCTTAACTTCTAATTCCCACCATACTGACTAGACTATGACTTTTATTACTATTAGCTCCGGACTTCCTTTTTTAAATATTGGTGGTTGTGATGTAAATAATTTATGGCATGTTGAAAATCTTAGATATATATATATTGTGTCAGTTGCAGTGGCGTAACGAAGGGCCCCGCTGACCCCGCTATGCGGGGGGGGGGGGGGGGGGCTCAAACAACGTTACGCCACTGGTCAGTTGGATTGTGGAATGTGGTTACCAGAACTGTTAAAAGTAAATTGTTGTTCAATGAAACGTTCTTTTGGTGTTAATAGGCACAATTATATAATGAACCTTGGACAGGCCTGATAACAGTGGAGAATACAGCAAACAAATGCAGAAGTTCAATGTCGGAGACGATTGCCCAGTGTTTGAAGGATTGTACGAGTTTTGTCAGCTATCAGCCGGCGGTTCTGTAGGTAATGAGAAACACTGTACACTGTACAGCTGTACTTCGGTTTACATTTTACCTTACAACGTTTACATTGTGGCACCAAATATCGTCCTATAACTTAGACTTCGTGTGTTAGACAAAGAACCTACGTTTTAATGTTTTGCTATTTTGAACTTTGAAGTACTAAATGGATTTTCCGCCTGTAGCCTTCATGAAATTGCTATCTATAGAGTCTTCTATCAGCAACTCCTCATTTCGAAGAAGAAATCATTTTGACAGTGATTAAATTCGTGGACAAGCTGTTCGTATTGACAATGTGAAAATATTTATCGAATTGTAATGCAGTATTATATGCCAATTTTACATACTGTATCATAATTCGATAAATATTTTGGTTAAATTAGAATTGATCTTTACGCTGATCTGTGACAACTTAAGTACAGTTTATAAAATACAGTCAATAGCGATATTCTCAGATAATGCTTTCAGTTTTTTACTTCCTTAAAAAATTCTCTTCGGACCTGTTGATTAAAACCGAACCAGTTGGCTCCCTCTCTCTCTCTCTAGATACTCTCCATTGATGTCATATTGTCAAATGTATGCCGCAGTTACTTAGCGATTGCGTGCTAAACATTATAATAACTCAGGCTAACAAGTTACTTACATCATGATATTCACCAGTACCAACTTATTTTAAGGTTGAGGAATATAACGTATTCAAATATTCCGCTTGCTCCAAACCCACCGTACCCTTTTTCATTTAAAAAACGATCAAATAATACATACAATTATTAAATGGAGACTGTTACAGCTGGAGCGATGAAGTTGAACAAGCAGCACACCGATATAGCAGTTAATTGGGCGGGCGGGCTGCACCACGCTAAAAAGTCAGAAGCGTCAGGGTTCTGCTACGTAAACGACATAGTACTATCCATCCTGGAACTTCTCAAGTAAGTTATCCTTATCTTCTGTGTAAGGTTTTAGTAGACTAATGATTGGGCACAAACTGATCAATCTTTTAAGTGTTGCCAGATTTGCTAAGACACTTTCTTAGATTCTGAGAGTTGTATGCGATTAAAAAAAGTTGATTTTGTAATCGAATTTGCCCAGTCACAATATGAACTATACCACATTAAGATTAAAACGGGCTTTTCGATTGGTAATTAAAAAGTTAGTTAATTAATTAAATTATTAGGTATCACAAGAGAGTATTGTACGTTGATATAGACATTCACCACGGAGACGGAGTCGAAGAAGCTTTCTACACGACTGACAGAGTAATGACAGTGTCGTTCCACAAATACGGGGAATACTTCCCGGGAACTGGGGATATCAGGGACATTGGAGCTAGTCTTGGCAAACATCACTCAGGTTAGAATATTGGAGCTTCAAGAAATCACTGAATATTACACCCCTTAATCTTCATCTCAGTTCTGCAAATCCAACACAACTGTAGCTTCAGACGGTTTTACAAGCCAGCCTTAATAGTGTACTCCTTATTAATTTTAACGGTTTCTAATTGCTACTGATGAATAAATGTCCAGCTTTCCTTATGATCAATCCCCCTCTTCAGTTAACTTCCCACTACGGGATGGCATGGACGATGAGTCGTACCAGAGTATCTTCCAACCTGTAATGGGCAAGGTTATGGAGGTTTATAGACCAGAAGCAGTTGTTCTGCAATGTGGGGCTGACAGTTTAGCTGGTGACAGGCTCGGCTGCTTCAATCTAACTCTTAAAGGTAACTCCTCAAAATCAGGTCAAGAAAGTAAACCTTGCAAAAATCAGAAGATTATTATATATAAATAACACCATGTACATTCTGAGGAGCTAACATAAAACCTGCCAGGGCATGCTAAATGTGTGGAGTATATGAAGAGGTTCAACCTACCTTTGCTGCTGTTGGGCGGGGGTGGTTACACTATACGTAACGTAGCGAGGTGCTGGACTCTTGAGACCGCGTACGCTCTTGGCATCGACATCAGCAATGGTTAGTTGCACTGCTCATAATATTTACTTGAAGTTTGTGTATTCGTTAGGTTTATTTAAAACATATATATTCTGCAGCTGATTCATCTGCTGATAAGTATTACTGATAGTGTACTGCAGTAACCTTATGATTTTATTCCAGATCTACCGTACAACGATTACTTTGAGTACTTTGGACCTGATTTCAAGCTAAATATTCAGCCCAGCAACATGACTAATCAAAACACCCCGGAGTATATGGATAAGATGAAGTTAGTTTCCACAATTTCTATAATATTCTACCAATGATTTTATATATATCGATTATATAGATATATAATAGATATGTTAAGAAAGCTGTCAATCGAAATTTGTTCTTATTTCTAAATAATTACAACTTAAAACTGAAACCCCTTTCTTATCCGTTAACTTTGTAGGAACAATTGTCACATTATGATTTTTGAAGGTGAAATTGTTTCAGAAACATCCAGTTTACAACCATGTGAATTACATGGTTTTCATTAATTTCCCTTGAGGTAAGATTCTCACATGTCCATTCCTCAGAGCTAAAGTATTTGAGAATCTGAAGTATTTGGGAGGTCCTCCCAGCGTTCAGATGCAAGATATTCCCACTGATGCGATGCCTGAGAGAGAAGTAGACGAGGACAAAAGGAACAAGGATGTTCGAATTTCAAGTGAGTCTATTTATAGATCGTGTGTACTCACTACTCTTTTATGTAATTTTGTTGGTAATTTTGATAAAACGTCTCTTTCAATGTTATGACCACGCGGCAGCCTTCACTTTGTTCTTTGTATTGAATTTATTATTGTAATGAAATATTATGGGGGAAGTTAGAAACCGTCGCACTGTACAACAACCAGCCTCAAACAGAAATACAGAATTCTAATCATTTTGTAAACCAAACTCTTTAATTCCCCAGTACGGGACCGTGATAACCGGATCACTTGTGACGAAGAATTCAGCGACAGTGAGGATGAAGGAAACGATGCAGGGGCCAGAAAAGATAATCACAATTACAAACACAGCACCAAACGTCCTGTAAGTTATTTTTGTCATGCAAGTTCGAGTATTTTCATCACGCGCCAGAAAAATTAGTGGATGACCTAATTGTCTGCTTCTCAAAATTCTGTGCTGTTTTTTCCTTCCTTAACATATTTTTTCCATTTCAGAGGATGAACCCGATGAGTATGACACATATGGTCGCCAATGAAACTAATGAGAAGGTATTTTTCTCATATTTCAATACTTAAATTCTATAATCTTATTAGCAGAATATTACCCCAGTAGAATTGTGTAAAATCTTTAAATAGATATCTTTTTGAAGCTATATTAATATCTCTTTTCACAGGCAGTAACCCCCAACCAAGCTGGTGCAAGATCACAAAGTCAGACCAATCAAGGTTAGAATATAATGCTATTGCAAGCACTCTTCTTTGCATTATGTGAGCTTTTGAGCATTTCCAGCTATTGAAATGATCAAACAAAAGCTAGTTATTTTGAGAAATTGGCGCGATACTGAGTATGGAACGGAGAGCACGTTTCCTTGATTTTTGTAGTGGATTTGTAGTGCTTTTCACCCCTGTAGTGCTTTTATGTTCCGGGGTAGGTGGGACATGTTTTAGTTTAAAAATGGGTTCTGCCTGTCCCAAACCATCATAAAAATCAAGTTTCGACCTCTCAACCCACTCGGGCCACTCCCAGGGGCCACGCCCATCCCAAAATGACCGAAATCCAGCTAAATCCAGACTTTAAAATCTTTACCCCTGTAGTGCTTTTATGTTCCGGGGTAGGTGGGACATGTTTTAGTTTAAAAATGGGTTCTGCCTGTCCCAAACCATCATAAAAATCAAGTTTCGACCTCTCAACCCACTCGGGCCACTCCCAGGGGCCACGCCCATCCCAAAATGACCGAAATCCAGCTAAATCCAGACTTTAAAATCTTTACCCCTGTAGTGCTTTTATGTTCCGGGGTAGGTGGGACATGTTTTAGTTTAAAAATGGGTTCTGCCTGTCCCAAACCATCATAAAAATCAAGTTTCGACCTCTCAACCCACTCGGGCCACTCCCAGGGGCCACGCCCATCCCAAAATGACCGAAATCCAGCTAAATCCAGACTTTAAAATCTTTACCCCTGTAGTGCTTTTATGTTCCGGGGTAGGTGGGACATGTTTTAGTTTAAAAATGGGTTCTGCCTGTCCCAAACCATCATAAAAATCAAGTTTCGACCTCTCAACCCACTCGGGCCACTCCCAGGGGCCACGCCCATCCCAAAATGACCGAAATCCAGCTAAATCCAGACTTTAAAATCTTTACCCCTGTAGTGCTTTTATGTTCCGGGGTAGGTGGGACATGTTTTAGTTTAAAAATGGGTTCTGCCTGTCCCAAACCATCATAAAAATCAAGTTTCGACCTCTCAACCCACTCGGGCCACTCCCAGGGGCCACGCCCATCCCAAAATGACCGAAATCCAGCTAAATCCAGACTTTAAAATCTTTACCCCTGTAGTGCTTTTATGTTCCGGGGTAGGTGGGACATGTTTTAGTTTAAAAATGGGTTCTGCCTGTCCCAAACCATCATAAAAATCAAGTTTCGACCTCTCAACCCACTCGGGCCACTCCCAGGGGCCACGCCCATCCCAAAATGACCGAAATCCAGCTAAATCCAGACTTTAAAATCTTTACCCCTGTAGTGCTTTTATGTTCCGGGGTAGGTGGGACATGTTTTAGTTTAAAAATGGGTTCTGCCTGTCCCAAACCATCATAAAAATCAAGTTTCGACCTCTCAACCCACTCGGGCCACTCCCAGGGGCCACGCCCATCCCAAAATGACCGAAATCCAGCTAAATCCAGACTTTAAAATCTTTACCCCTGTAGTGCTTTTATGTTCCGGGGTAGGTGGGACATGTTTTAGTTTAAAAATGGGTTCTGCCTGTCCCAAACCATCATAAAAATCAAGTTTCGACCTCTCAACCCACTCGGGCCACTCCCAGGGGCCACGCCCATCCCAAAATGACCGAAATCCAGCTAAATCCAGACTTTAAAATCTTTACCCCTGTAGTGCTTTTATGTTCCGGGGTAGGTGGGACATGTTTTAGTTTAAAAATGGGTTCTGCCTGTCCCAAACCATCATAAAAATCAAGTTTCGACCTCTCAACCCACTCGGGCCACTCCCAGGGGCCACGCCCATCCCAAAATGACCGAAATCCAGCTAAATCCAGACTTTAAAATCTTTACCCCTGTAGTGCTTTTATGTTCCGGGGTAGGTGGGACATGTTTTAGTTTAAAAATGGGTTCTGCCTGTCCCAAACCATCATAAAAATCAAGTTTCGACCTCTCAACCCACTCGGGCCACTCCCAGGGGCCACGCCCATCCCAAAATGACCGAAATCCAGCTAAATCCAGACTTTAAAATCTTTACCCCTGTAGTGCTTTTATGTTCCGGGGTAGGTGGGACATGTTTTAGTTTAAAAATGGGTTCTGCCTGTCCCAAACCATCATAAAAATCAAGTTTCGACCTCTCAACCCACTCGGGCCACTCCCAGGGGCCACGCCCATCCCAAAATGACCGAAATCCAGCTAAAATCCAGACTTTAAAATCTTTACCCCTGTAGTGCTTTTATGTTCCGGGGTAGGTGGGACATGTTTTAGTTTAAAAATGGGTTCTGCCTGTCCCAAACCATCATAAAAATCAAGTTTCGACCTCTCAACCCACTCGGGCCACTCCCAGGGGCCACGCCCATCCCAAAATGACCGAAATCCAGCTAAATCCAGACTTTAAAATCTTTACCCCTGTAGTGCTTTTATGTTCCGGGGTAGGTGGGACATGTTTTAGTTTAAAAATGGGTTCTGCCTGTCCCAAACCATCATAAAAATCAAGTTTCGACCTCTCAACCCACTCGGGCCACTCCCAGGGGCCACGCCCATCCCAAAATGACCGAAATCCAGCTAAATCCAGACTTTAAAATCTTTACCCCTGTAGTGCTTTTATGTTCCGGGGTAGGTGGGACATGTTTTAGTTTAAAAATGGGTTCTGCCTGTCCCAAACCATCATAAAAATCAAGTTTCGACCTCTCAACCCACTCGGGCCACTCCCAGGGGCCACGCCCATCCCAAAATGACCGAAATCCAGCTAAAATCCAGACTTTAAAATCTTTACCCCTGTAGTGCTTTTATGTTCCGGGGTAGGTGGGACATGTTTTAGTTTAAAAATGGGTTCTGCCTGTCCCAAACCATCATAAAAATCAAGTTTCGACCTCTCAACCCACTCGGGCCACTCCCAGGGGCCACGCCCATCCCAAAATGACCGAAATCCAGCTAAATCCAGACTTTAAAATCTTTACCCCTGTAGTGCTTTTATGTTCCGGGGTAGGTGGGACATGTTTTAGTTTAAAAATGGGTTCTGCCTGTCCCAAACCATCATAAAAATCAAGTTTCGACCTCTCAACCCACTCGGGCCACTCCCAGGGGCCACGCCCATCCCAAAATGACCGAAATCCAGCTAAATCCAGACTTTAAAATCTTTACCCCTGTAGTGCTTTTATGTTCCGGGGTAGGTGGGACATGTTTTAGTTTAAAAATGGGTTCTGCCTGTCCCAAACCATCATAAAAATCAAGTTTCGACCTCTCAACCCACTCGGGCCACTCCCAGGGGCCACGCCCATCCCAAAATGACCGAAATCCAGCTAAATCCAGACTTTAAAATCTTTACCCCTGTAGTGCTTTTATGTTCCGGGGTAGGTGGGACATGTTTTAGTTTAAAAATGGGTTCTGCCTGTCCCAAACCATCATAAAAATCAAGTTTCGACCTCTCAACCCACTCGGGCCACTCCCAGGGGCCACGCCCATCCCAAAATGACCGAAATCCAGCTAAATCCAGACTTTAAAATCTTTACCCCTGTAGTGCTTTTATGTTCCGGGGTAGGTGGGACATGTTTTAGTTTAAAAATGGGTTCTGCCTGTCCCAAACCATCATAAAAATCAAGTTTCGACCTCTCAACCCACTCGGGCCACTCCCAGGGGCCACGCCCATCCCAAAATGACCGAAATCCAGCTAAATCCAGACTTTAAAATCTTTACCCCTGTAGTGCTTTTATGTTCCGGGGTAGGTGGGACATGTTTTAGTTTAAAAATGGGTTCTGCCTGTCCCAAACCATCATAAAAATCAAGTTTCGACCTCTCAACCCACTCGGGCCACTCCCAGGGGCCACGCCCATCCCAAAATTACTGAAATCCAGGTTTTATGTTCCGGGGTAAAATCAAATCCAGACAGAATGAGAATCTTAACACCTGGAAGGGATTTATGTTCCGGGGTATTCTTTTTGGTATGACTTACTAACACCACTCATTCGAGGAATAGATTCATTTTCATTTTTTCAAGAATATTCATTTTCATTTTTTTTATGAAGGTTCATGATCGCATTTATTCGATAGTTTTGATAATCAGATCGAGCCAAATTTTATAGGATCGTATTTGGCCATTCAAATTACGTTTGATCTGAAAAAATGAGGGTTGTAGCTTCTCAGATGACCGAGATACGAGGCATGACGAGTTTATCCATTACGTGTGATCAGGTGATTCGATTACCTGTTCAGGTGATTAGATGGCCCCGTCAAATTGCAAGGGAACCCAATTAAGGTGACCTATCACATAATCACCCTATCAATTTTGTTAACGAGATACATTAAATGCTTGATAACTTCGTCATTTCAAATACGTTTGGGCTCAATTTTTCAGATCAGATGCAACAATTAATTATCTGCAGTAATCTGAAATAAATGGGCGTCTAGCATGTCCGGAAAGAACAATATAGGTGATTTAATATTATATGGGCGTAGTCTTTCAGAGGTACGTATCGAGAATGACTCGGACCGAAAATTTTCTAAGTCACAATTTTTCAAAGTTTTTCTGGAAACTACTTTTGTTCATGTTTCATGCTATCCTGATCATTCTGAGCCAAAAATATTTTTTTCGGTTTTCGAAGTTCGATATACGATTTTGGACTCGAGGGTCCCCTTTGTAATGCGATCTCGGAAGGCAGGCCTCCCGTTCGCAATACGAGCTCGGAAGCGGTAGCTCTGCTTTTAGAGGTACGTATCGAGAATGACTCGGACCGAAAATTTTCTAAGTCAAAATTTTTCAAAGTTTTTCTGGAAACTACTTTTGTTCATGTTTCATGCTATCCTGATCATTCTGAGCCAAAAATATTTTTTTCGGTTTTCGAAGTTCGATATACGATTTTGGACTCAAGAGTCCCCTTTGTAATGCGATCTCGGAAGGCAGGCCTCCCCTTCGCAATACGAGCTCGGAAGCGGTAGCTCTGCTTTTAGAGGTACGTATCAAGAATGACTCGGACCGAAAAGTCAAAATTTTTCAAAGTTTTTCAAAGTTTTTCTGGAAACTA